AACATCCTGTTGAGGTCACTTGTTTTCTGTATATGCATTTTGTTCTCTATAAAAGCTGGTACCTGGGTCTACTCGGGGCTGGCATCTGCTCAGACGTTTTCCCTACGTCTCATTTCAAATGTCAGTCCACCACACATCAACGCAGAATGTATGGGATACAATGAAGGCATATGCCAGAGGCTTGATAATAAACTATACAAGGAGAAGAAATATCACAAAAAGACTAGCCTCTAAGACATTAGAGGATGAGTATAAAGAACTTGAAACAGAGCTACAGAAAATGCCACAGAAAAGGGACATTAAGTTAAAAAAAGGATATAATTAAACATAAAATGGGATTAATGGGAAAAGAAGAATTAGCACAGAAAATCAGAGGCACGAAACAGAACTACTTTGAAGATGCAAATAAACCAGGTAGATGGTTAGCATATACACTGAGAAAGGAGAAAGAATCAAGGAAAATATTGCAATTAATAGATGATCAAGGCCAAGTTTGCTATGGAAGTAAAGAGAAGAAGGAAATTATACAAGACTATTACAGGAAACTATACACACAAGAGAATATTGATGACGAAAGAGTTAAACAATACTTATAGAATGCTAACCTACCCCTGATACCTAAAGATTGAAATAATGTTAGAAAATAATATAAGGATGATGAAGTTAATTGAAGCACTTAAGAAACAAAACAATGGAAAGGCATCAGGCCCAGATGGACTTCCGGAGGAATTTTATAAAACACTACAAGAATCGTTGAATTTTCCATTGCTAGAAGTTAGGAATGAAGTTATGTCAATGATTGCTTGGGGGAAGAATTTTGGATATGGGATTGATCTAGAGAAATGGCAAAAATTGTGGTCTCAAAATTATAAAATGACATTGTCAACAGCATATAAAGAAAATTTGTATAAGATGTTTTACAGGTGGCATTTTCCCCTGACAAGAATAGCAAGAATGTTCAGGAACAAATCTGAAAAATGTTGGAAATGTCATCAGACACCTGGCTCATATTACCATATGTGGTGGACCTGTGCAGACGCTAAAAAATACTGGACTAAAATCCACACATGGTTGGAAAAAATGACAAAAAAACATATAGACTTGAAACCAGAGATATTTTTACTGGGAATTTTACCTGAAATATATAGTAAAGAATTGAAATACTTGATTGTAAATGTATTAACAGCGGCTTGGATTGTATTTGCCCAAAACTGGAAAAATGAGAAAGTACCATCACAGGAGGAAATTATTAAGAAAATATTGGAATGTGCTGAAATGAGTAGATTGACATTTGAAATCAGAGAACAAGATGATAAACAATTTTATAAAATTTGGGATCTATTCTATCAATGGTTAGACAATAAAACATGGTAATGAAATATGTAGATCGTGAGAATATATATAAAAATGTATTTTTTAATTATATCTACAAAATGTGGGATAGATCTGAGATGATAATATGAACTGTCACAAAACAAATAAAATAAAATATGGATTATCTTGCAAAACATGAAGGAATAATAGTATAGTCAAATGATTGATTAATAATGATATTAATGTATTTAGGAATATTTGATTGACAATATGAGAATATATACAATGTAATTGTAATTGAAGACTATGAAGTGGTAGCACAAAACAATTTGTAAACCAACCGACACACTGTATGGAAGATGGCTTGATGTTTTGAATAAAACTTTATAATTAAAAAAAAGAAAGAAAAATGAAACCCATTCTACATCCTGTCCCTGAACTGAGCAAACAATGCTGTCACGGTCATTTTCCATGTCTTGAAGCGCCAAAGATCTGGATGGAGAGGAACAGGCCTAAACTTAACCCTAATAAGATGGAATAAGATGGCTATATGGGTTCTTGGTTCTCTCAGGGAGATCGTGTGTGTACCTGAACATATATGTCATCTATATATCCTTTCTAGGAGCTCCTTGATAGTGGCTGTTTCCCCAGTTGTTGGGTCAGGTGGAGAAGCTTTGTTGGGTCTTCCAAGTTGGGTGGGCTGGAAAGGTGAAGGAGAAGTCATATCTCGCCTACCCCCGGCAAGTGATGCTGTTGGTTTTCAGAGCCAAGACTGGAACAAGAATGACGAGAAGCTCCTGCAAGCGGTGGAATTCAATGATGCGGACCGCGTCTCCTCTCTCCTGCTCCGGAAGAATTTGGTCCCCACCAAACTGGACACGGAAGGGAAATCAGCGTAAGCCTTTCCTTTCTTTCTCCGCAATTATTTAATTTCTTCTTTCTCTTTCCCCTTTTCCAAATCTTCCCTTCCCTTTCTCATCTATTTAGTTCCTTTCCTTTCCTTTCCTATTTATTTAGTTCCTTTCCTTCCTTTCCCTTCCCTCTCTTTCTCCCTTCCCTTCCTTTCTCATTTATTTAGTTCCTTTCCTTTCCTTTCCTTTCCTTTCCTTTCCTTTCCTTTCCTTTCTCATTTATTTAGTTCCTTTCCTTTCCTTTCCTTTCCCTCCCCTTCTGTTCCTCTTCCAT